AGAAACACTCATAGGCGTAAAATACAAACTTGTGGTTGCCAAGGGGGTGGGGGTGGGAAGGGACAGATTGGGATTTAAAAATGTAGACTAGATAAACAAGATTATACTGTATAGCACAGGGAAATATATACAAGATCTTGTGGTAGCTCACAGTGAAAAAAATGTCACAATGAATGTATGTATGTTCATGTATAACTGAAAAATTGCTCTACACTGAAATTTGACACAAAATTATAAAATGACTATAACTCAATAAAAAATTAAAAAAATAAAGTAGCAGATGGAATTTTAAAAAAGTTAAAAGTCAAGATAATATGTGCAACACTTAGATAAATTTATTGATAATACCAGGCACGCATCTATTTTAATTCTGAATTAAAGAGAGATTCTATCTTAAAAAAAAAAAAGAGCTTTGTCCAGTGTCCGACATAGTAAGCACTCAATAAATTCTCAACTCAAAAAAAAAAAAATCCTGTAACCTGTTGAACCATTGAAATGAAGTTATATCTTCATTTATGAAAGATTTGATACAAAGTTAGATTAGATATAAGTTGAACAGTTGTTTTCTTGTACAGAAGTTTAAATTTTTCACTGATTATATTTAAACCTTCTTTCTATTAAACTTTAAGATGTAAATAAGAATCAAAGAGAAGCGAATCCTACATTTTGTCAGTCAGTACTCAAATAAAATAGTTGGCAAATTATGTGAGAACTGATTTGTGAAATATTGTCACAAAATAATACAGTAAGGAAATAATCATTAATATAAAATTGATAGCATCTTAGTTTTCAGTAGCTAGTTTTATGAACTTTAAAACTGCTCATTTTATACTAATAAACCATCCCTGGAATTACAGACCTGAGATCTAATTCTGTTTTTATTTTCCATATTCACTTTGTCACTCCTAGTGGAGATTTTTATCTTATGTTTTTTGAAATATCCTGTGTCTTTGCTAGTTTATGGCATTGGTCCTAAAGAAATTGAAAATAGCTTCCAGTTGCAATTAGGAAAAAGAATAAGATGATTGCTATAAACTTAGTTATAAGTCATGTTTTTACTTTTATGAGTCCTCTTATTCTTAGTATCGAAAAAATAAGTGTGTTATTTTCACTACTCATTACAGACTTATGAATGAAATTACTCTGGATTTGCAGTTGTTCTGTGCTTTACCTTAAAAAGAAAATATTGTTTCTACTTCAGGTGATGGAGAAGATAACCGACCAGGAATGAGAGGAGGCCATCAAATGGTTATTGATGTTCAAACAGGTGAGGAATACTTGCAATAGAAAGCAAATTATTTAAAAAATTATACATCTTTAAAGGGGAGGGTATGGCTCAGTGGTAGAGTGCGTGCTTAGCATGCACGAGGTCGTGAGTTCAATCCCCAGTACCTCCGTTAAAAATAAATAAATAAACCTAATTGCCTCCCCCTCCAAAACAAAACAAAACAAAACAAAACAAAAAGTGATTTAAAGAAAAATTATACACCTTTAGATATCAGGTAATCATAAATATACTTCTTTCCATTCATAGGAAGGTTAAATGTTGCTAACCATAACCAAGTAGCAAAAAAAAATGGGCATTTGCCACAGGTATAACTTAAACTATGCCATGACATGTGAGGATGGGAGGCTGCTACACAAAAGAAATTAGATAACCTAAAGGAAATGTGATGTGCAGCCCTTTATAGCTGTGTATGTGTGTAGTTTTATGTGTGTTTGATTGTGCAGTATTTCTGAATTTTAGTGCATTTGTATTTTAATGTTGTAATATGGGAATTGTTGCAATAAAGGAGAATTAAGGTATATTTTTAGAAGGAGAGACTCTCAAATTAGGTAGCCTAAGTGTTGGTAGATCCATTAATTGCTAAATTCTATTCACAAGCCTATAAATAATTTGTTTTAGTCTTCCTTTGCTGCCCTCTTAATTTTATTCTGTAACTTGATACCAAAAATTTTCCTTGGTTCCTACACCGTAGAATAGCTTAAATACCATTATATTTAGAGGGTAATAATAAAATTATAATAGGTTTCAAATTACCATCTTGAAAAGCAGATAATACCAAGAATTTAGTATAATTTTATTGCTTGGTTTTAGAAAACTTTATCACATAGAATGCCAATATCCATCCAAATATTATTTTACTTTTTCCAAGTGTAATAAAAACTTCATTCTATTACTGTGTTGAATAGTGTTTCAGGAATAGTTTTTTGACTCATATTATAAAAGAATTAATAAAAATTATTGCAATGTAGGTAATAATCTTCTAGCCATTAATGTATTTTCACAAATACTTTATAAGTAACAAGAGAAATTATATTATTTTATTTAAAATTAACTGCTAAATTTGTATAATAACCTTTGAGCTTGTTTAGAAGTATTATTAGTCTCTTTGGAAAAGTTTCATTTCAAGGCAGAGATATTTGATTTCCTAATCTTAGCCCCTCCTCCCAAACCCCTTCCTTCCCACAGAAATAGGCTTGACTCAGTTGTAGTCTTAAGCATCTTTTTCTACTTGAGGGTTTAATAAATACACATATGCTTATTTCTTAAAGAACCAGATTAATATGCAAATTGATTTTTTTAATCCAAAAAAGTTAAATATTGTATGAAAAAGATGAAAATTTGTGTTGAGATTGTAGTAACTTTTTTCCTCTTTTGAACATACAGTGGAATTAGTAATGCCATTCATTTTCTTTTCAGTCATAATGAAAATCTTACTAAATTCTTTTTTTTAATTTGCTAATAAAATACCAAAGAAGAGTGTTTGAAAAACTACTTTAATTTTCTAGGCAAAATGCTATTTTCCTTAAATGTGAAAATAATGTGATATCTTTTACATTTAAAGTTCACCTTATCAGGGAGCAGAAGGAATTTTTATAGTGCTTACTGTGTTGCTTATTATGGGACATAGACCATATAAGAAAGGTAATGTACATGTGTAAGAAAAGAGAAAATAATTTTTCTCTTTTTTTGTAATCCATGATATTTGAAAATGGAAAATAAAAAGATTCAAATGATAGGCGAATGTCCTGACAGAACTTAGTATGAAAAGAGTTATTGAGAATTAAAATCTAACTTTTCAGGTCAGAGATCTTTGAAGTAAAATATTTACAGCATATAGTGATAAAGGGCCAAATATTATTCTGTAATATCTTTATGCATGTGTCTGTGTGTGTGTGTTTTATTGAAGTATAATTCATTTACAACATTGTGTTGATTTCTGGTATACAGCATGGTGATTCATATATATTCTTTATCATATTATAAGATACTGGACATAGTTCTCTGTGCTATCCAGTAGGACCTTGTTCTTTATTTTATATATAGTAGTTTGTATCTGCTAATCCCGAAGTCCTAGTTTATCCCTCCCTGCACTTTCCCCTTTGGTAACCATAGGTTTGTTTCCTATGTCTGTGAGTCTGTTTCTATTTTGTATATAAATTCATTTGTATCACTTTAGATTGCACATATAAGTGATATCATATGATATTTGTCTTTTTCTGTCTGATTTACTTTACTTAGTATGATGATCTCTGGGTCCATCCATGTTGCTGTAGGTGGAATTATTTCATTCTTTTTTATGGCTGAGTAGTACTCTGATCTATCTATATCTATATCTATATATTTATATATTTATATATATGTACACACACACCACATCATCTTCGTTCATCTGTCAGTGGACATTTAGGTTGCTTTTGTCTTGGCTGTTGTAAATAGTGCTGCTGTGTGCACTGGGGTGCATGTATCTTTTTGAATTAGTTTTCTCTGAATATATGCCCAGGAGTGGGATTGCTGGATCACATGGTAACTATATTTCTGTTTCTTAAAGAAATCTCCATGCTGTTTTCCATAGTGGCTGCACCAAATACATTCCCACCAACAGTGTAGGGTTCCCTTTTCTCCACACCCTCTCCAGCATTTATTATTTGTAGATTTTTTTAATGATGGCCATTCTGACTAATATGTGGTGTTACCTCATTGTAGTTTTTTATTTGCATTTCTCTGATAATTAGTGACGTTAAGCCTCTTTTCAAGTGCCTGTTGGTCACCTGGATGTCTTCTTTGGAGAAATGTCTGTTTGGGTCTTCTGTCCATTATTTGAGTGAGTTGTCTATTTTTCTGTTACTGAGTTGTATGAGTTGTTCGTATATTTTGGAAATTAATCCCTTGTTGGTTGCATCATCTGCAAATATTTTCTCCCATTCTGTAGGCTGTCTTTTCATTTTATGATTCTCTTTCATATTCAAAAGCTTGTAAGTTTGGTTAGGTCCCATTTGTTTAGTTTTGCTTTTGTTTCTATTGCTTTGAGAGACTGACCTAGGAAAACATTGCTGTGATTTGTGTCAGAGAATTTGCTTATGTTCCCTTCTAGGAGTTTTATGGTGTCCTGTATTATATTTAAGTCTTGAAGCCATTTTCAGTTTATTTTTGTGTATGATGTGAGGTAGTATGCTAACTTCATTGATTTATATGCAGCTGTCCAGCTTTCCCAACACCACTTGCTGAAGAGATTTTTCCATGGTATATTCTTTCCTCTTTGATTTCATTATTGACCCATTGGGTTTTTCGTAGCATGTTGTTTAGTCTCCATGTTGTTTAGTTTTTTCTCATCCCTCTTTCCATGGTTAATTTCTAATTTCATGCCATTGTGGTCAGAAAAGCTGCCTGAAGTAATTTTTATCCTCTTAAATTTGTTGAGGCTTGTTTTTGTGTCCTAGTATGTGGTCTGTCCCAGAGAATGTTCCATGTGCACTTGAAAAGAATGTATATTCTGGTTTTTTTTTGATAATGTATGAGCAGTAGTTTATAAAAAGTAATAGAAGTACTTTGTGAATATATTTTTAAGCAAATATTTCTACCATAGGAAATTTAGGGACTTATCCATCAGTAGAGGAATTTTGAATTTAGAGCCATTTTGTATGTTTCAGTGCTTCCCCCCACCCCTAAACTTTCTGATTGCTGGATGGTCAAACTTTATTTAGGCCCATGGATGATTATAAAACTAGATTTTCAGCCTTTAAAAGGAACCAAAAATTTAACTCTGATAAAACTAAATAATCATGATAGTCAGTTAATATAAAGTTGTCTGTAACTCAAATGACAAATCAGTATGTTGTCATTACCACTTAAAAATTTAGGAACAGTAGTAACTGCATAAAATATCAAAGTTGAAAGGGTTTAAGCAGGTTCAGATGATCCTTTGTATGAGTAATATGGATGATGTGTAAAACCTATTGTTATGGAATTCTTCCTTTACACACACGCACACACACAGGTGATATAATTAGATTTGGGATTCCAGATTGAGGTAGAGTAGAAGTGCAGCTTCTGAGGATTCAGGTGTCTGGAAGCAGAGAGAAATACAAGGAAGGATGCCCTAGAACTTAACCAAGTCAGAAAAAGCTTTAAAAGCTTTCATAAGACTCACGAACTGTGGTTTAGGTTAAGTTTAAACAGGTGTCTGGTTATAAGGATAGGTAATCCAGGAGTCTACAGTATCAACAGAAAACAAAAGAATTTTTTAAAACACCATTCAAAAATGAAATAACTTTCGTACTCTGGCATTTCCAATCTTTTGTTTCAGCTAACTATTGCTATCTACTTTTCTTTCTGTCACTGTGCTCTATCCTTTTGGTATTTCCTTGTTTTCTTGAATGAGGCTTTATGAATGGGCTTTAAGGAGGCCCATGAAATTCTTGGAAAGATGTGTAATATTCTTGTCTGTCTGCCTTTGTGGAGTTTACTGGGAAGATTCATTACCTATATATATATATTTTTGTCTAAATCTCTCTATTAATAAAGTTTTGACTTCCCATGATTAGTAAATACTGCTGGTATTCATATAAAATTTCAGATGAAATTACTTGCTCTGTGTAAGTGGTATTTGTTGAAGTAATAAAGTAAATCGTTGCCTACCTTTCTTCTACTCTTATTTTTTTCCAGACTATTTGTTGCTAGATCTGAGGTGGGTGAGAGACTAGTAGACGATAAAGTCAGAGAAAGAGTGAGGAGCCATTGTGTTGAGTCTTTTCGGCCTTTTTTCAGAGTGGGATAATCGAAGATATTGCTAGATTCTGAGAAATGGTATGAACTGACATTGCATTTTAACAAAACAAATTGAATGAAGGGCAGAAGTGGAGAGACCTTTTAGGAAGTAGTTGCTCACTAGGGAAGTGTGATAGAGCATTGGCTTTTACTAGGGTGGTAATCATAGTATTGAAAATTGGTCAAATTTTGGGTGTATTTTGAAGATGTCACAT